GATCTATAAGCCTTGAACTTATTGATTGATGAAAATCCAGATAACCACATGGCCACAGCATATTTCGGAACAACAGATAGCCAAGAGAAATGGGTGACTGCTTTCCGAGTAAAAGATCAGGAAACGCCGAACATATGCACACAGGGTCGGGCGTGCTAGTGGACGCTTAGTCAGAGGGGGCAGAGTAAAGTGCCAGGTGAACATGAATTTCGAGGGCAATACGTCACCTATACGGGTTGCTGGGAAATTCGCGAAGAAACTGATTTTCAATGGCGATATCGAACTGGGGTGACCGCTATGTCAACAAATATACCACCCAGTGCTGGTAACAGTTTCCCGGTGGTAACCCCAACAAATACATGGAATCTATGACAGGGCTTATTCCAGAATGTACGAAATGTGCATATATCAATAGATATGTGTCATTAGGTCCGATTCTTGCTACAAATGCAACTAGCAAATGTCGATATCGCAGAGTGAATTACAAATGCCAGCAAATTAATTATGCCTAAAGATCTCTTGAAACATTGAATGTGATGATTTAAAACTTTTTTGAAGAATACATCATACAAAAAACAATTTTTACAACTCTTGTTTATTCTAAACAACGCAGTTACTATTTATGGTATCAGAACGAGTATGAGAAAGTGGAGATAACAAAGGGAAAGTAGAAAAGAGTGTGGGAAGAGGTCTGTTGCAAGGAAAACATTGATAATAGGGTCACTGGGAATTGATAGGGAAATGGCGTATGACAACATTGTTCAGTGCTTTGGAAAGGATCGATTTTACAGCACAAATATCAACATAACACCCCCGCCCACAGGCTGTTGGAAAATTCATGACATCATACCATTTTGGCATACGAAACATCAGAAAAGGGATAACTTTTTACCCCTTGGGCCTCAAAAAACTTCAAAAACCTTGAGACACCGATTCCCATCTATCTCAAACCATGAAATGCTTGTTTGTTGACTGCAAACTTTCTTAAAATGGAATGAGTGAAGAGGAAACTCAACTTCACGAGGAGCCCTGTTTATACGCGATTCTGCTTGGATTAAAAAAAAANNNNATGAAACGCTTTTTGTTGACTGCGAACTTTTTAAAATGGAATGAGTGAAGAGATAGCTTAACTTCACGAGGAGCCCTGCTTAATACGTGACTCTGTTCGGATTGAAGGAAAAGCGACGGCCCTACTGGTGCCGAGTTACCTTGTGAGAGGCAACGAACACCTTCAACTTGTGGCCAATGTCCCTGCGTTCACTACTCGCTCGCTGTGAAACATATTCTGAGTGGCAAAAGGGGAAATCACGTTAGAAGGGAATGCTGTGCTCTGTTTCTAATTCTCTGACTGAAACTCCTTTCCTAGCATTTTACCCTTAAAATCAGCAGAACATTTCTGAAAGTTTGCTACCAGGTAAAGATGAAAACGCTTGACGTTGAAAAGCTCATATTGGCTGCGCCATGCACTCAGCGTTCAGTCAAAATCGCTGAATACGTAAATTATCTGTGCAAAGACTTCTAAGAGCTAATCAGTGTTTGGGGCTAGAATCACAAACAATGCAATTCAAAATGTCGAAGTTGTCAGGGATGTTGCGTTCATGGAGCGTGTCCAAAGAGGAACCTTCCCTCTTTGAACTCATGTTTGGACTCTTACGTTTCACTCAGTCTGTTTTGAAAATTGTGCATCACCAACGTATGGAAGTAAAGTTTCACGGAAAGGACGCTTGTGCGACATTCTTCCCGGACGGCATTGGGAACTGGCTCGGGGGCATCCCAAAATGGACTCCAGTTAACGAGTTTTCCCAAAAAAGGGAAGGTAGGAGGAGAAACTTTCTACAGAAACTTCTTTCAAATTCATAATCTTCAACTCGTAATCTTGATCAAAGGGAAGAGGGCCAGCTGGTGACTCGGCGAGGGGAACAAAGTCCTTTAGAGCAATGAAGCATCAACTACGTGGATCAAATGCCTCTGCGATGCCGATGATACCACCACGATGTGTCAGAAGTCAACGATCGCCTATGCTGCTGTTGTGTCGATCGGCATGAACGCCAGCAAACGATGACAGATCGTTTCAATCGAAGGACATGACAGTAACGTCTGAGATCGATTCGACAGAAGATCGCCCCGTCAAGGTTTACCTACAAGCAATCATCAAACTACACTCTGCCACCACGACCAGCCAACCTGTTTTACATACTCCCTAAAGTTCATCGGTCACATTACTCAACTAATTGTCATTTTCGATGTCTTCTCGTCTGACACTGTCATCATCATAATTCCCATTTATTAGCATCGATTAGAATTTCTGTTTAAATCGTGCTCCTACCTCGTGGTGTCAATGGGAACGTGGTGTCAATGAGAATCACTTTATAAAAGCGCTGAAGCACTCAACAGCTGCCAATCGTGTTTTTCAAATTGAAGACATAATTTTTGTTTTTTCTTTGTTTGCTGCGTAGTTCTAATTTTTCAATGCACACACAGTATGAACGAAGATCAATCTCGACCGGAAAATGGATCTTTTTTTGAATGGACAGGGGGAGGGGAGGAAAATTCAAACCTCGACGGAGTCCGTAGTCTTTCCTCGTTCTCCTCGTTCTCACTCTCTCAAATTTTAACCAACTTCATCCTCAGTAGGATATCGAGTGGATAGCCGATGTTTTGTGATACTGCAGAGTATGGCTTCACGGGGGAGGCAATTCCTGGAAATCGTCGCTTACTTTCTAATTCTATCTTTTCTGGGGAGTCTACCTGGTTGCCTTACTTTTGCTAGCCCTGTTTTGGTTTTCCGTTTAAATTTTTTTTTGAACTTCGAAATTAAAATTCAAAGCGTGCGGTACAAATGTCGTTTCGTAACTGATTTTGAGCGCATTATGAGCTCCCTGAGCCAATTATGACGATTAGGCTTACTAATGTGACAGAGTAAAAACCCAGACGTTCCATTTATGCCAACGATGCTTCAGTTCACATGCCGTCCAAAGTCGCAATCTCGATCTACCCTCCGATGACGCGTCCCTTTGGGGGCGTAACCGACTGGAAAAGCATGACCGTCAAATCTCCTAGATCTAACTCCATTGTTTTTGCAACTTTCCATAAAAATCTTCATAGCACTGATGCCATCGCCGAAGTGCCGTTCAAAGCAGTCTGTACCCACAACCATCATATCAATTCCTTTGCTTTGCTGTCATTGCAGAATCTTTGAATCAAAAAAACGTTCCGTGATGCGGTCTCTTTCAGTCATCTATTCAGAATCGTCGTCACGAATGACGTTCTCCAATTGTGTGACAGAAGGAGAAGAGAAAGTGTCACTAACGGAAGAAGGGGAAAGAGTAAGATCAGCAACTACGACTTCGGACGAATTCATCACCCCTGGAGAAATACTCAATAAACTCGGTAATTTCTTGTATTTTTCTATATTTTTGGCTGAATAGTTACAACTCCTGAAGAAATAAAAGACAAGGACGTGAAAGCCTAAGGTGGGAGTTGATTCAACCATAACGTAAGTCCCCAAAGCCCTATTCTGATACATTGCAGTATCGAGGCACCCTTTATTCTTCTTTAACCCTTGGTCTGTTTGTTTGCTGTTTCCTTGTCGCCATTATCATATGAATGCCCAAGACACTAAAGCCTACTTTCCCTTCCCTGAACATTTGTCGGCTACTTAACCCACGCTACTGATCAAATCAGCAGTCGACTATTCGCACAGTGTTTTTTAGGTGTTCGAGAGCATGGCGCACACTAGGAAAACTCATTGAAGCTGTCAAGTCCATAATACTTCCACTTGTTGATTTTATTCCTACCACGTGCCACCCACTCGCATCCTTTCCACGTAGATCTCCTGCTGGTTTAGTCCTTTTCCTGAGAGAGCTCAATGGAGTCTTCAAAGATGAAGTCTTTGGGCGTTAATCAGGCTGAAGTCTAGAGGCTTTTATCCACCCAAACGAGTATGGTACCGATCAAATGACCTCGAAGAGATTAAAGGACTGGTTGTGCTAGACGAATATCGATCCAGGATTCGAACCCGTGACCATGTGCGTTAGGTAGTGCGCCACTTGCCACTACACCACCTCCGCTTCGAGGGGATTCAATATTTCTAGAAAAGCTTGAATGAATATTCCATCTGTGGTCTTTGCAAATGGTTTCCATTAGTTCAAGGAATATTTTTTCACAGGACCAAAAAATCCATTTCTCTTGTCTTGTGTCCTGATAACTGGACTAACATGGACAGTGGAAGCAATGAATGGCATGAGTACGGCATTTATTACTCAAAGTTGTGAGAACTGCTCTAATATGGTATCGCTAGTCGATGAGGTAGTGGTTTGCCTTCTTGTGAATGTTTTTGTTTATGCATATATTGTCTTATATGGTCCATTACAGTATGACCTTCGTGGTCCACGGGCTTACATCTCGGACGCAACCATTACTGCATTCATGATTGGGAACGGCTTTGGCGGTACATTCGTCTCGAAAGCTGCAGATCGGTAAGAAATGAAAAAAATTGTTGAAAAACGTTACTCATAGGGAGACCAAGTATGGGAGCGATCTCATGGAATCCGGAATTTTCTCGCGCAATTTGCTCAGGCAGCACGTTTTAGCCGACAAAGTTCTAACTACTGAGAATTGTTGATCCATCTGGGAATCTCTGGAAAAGGGATAAGTGCTTGATTTCAAGAAGGCGTGAGCTGGAATAGGTTCCAAGGGCCATCATATCTGAACACTTATTAGGCAGATACAAGGATGTGAGGCGCAGTAAGTAAGTCAGTGGCTCAATTCCTACAAACTGGACTGGAAAAGCTGGGCAACAATGGGCAAGAGTCTTTCAGATAGACCTAAATATGATCGCATTAAGGAATCCAATCCGGGACCCTGTGTGCAGCTTACCCTTGTCCAGACTTTATCCTTCCCAACATTAAAGCCTACACATTGCTTCATTTCCCACTTTTGAGCCTCCCCAGTTAAAGGCACAGTTCACGATAAAAATGGTTTCTGGGATCTCCCATTAGGATGAATTCGAGGCCCCTCCTATACCACGTCTGGCGCTACCATGTTGGAAAACGGCCTAGTTAGGGCGTCATGAAGGCTCAAAGATTGGTTCGTGTATACCCTCGGACGAGTTTCACCGGCATTGTAGAGGCTGACCGTTCACAAGGGATTCCATGTAGGAAGTTCAAACAACTTGTTATGACCCATAGCGGCAGTGAAAGGCAGTTCTGTACAGTTCTGGCATGATGTAGTCAGCCCTCTCTCTCAATTGCAACAACCGAAATCTCGTCCGACTATTTTTCTCAAAATCGGTGAATTTTCTCGCTTTCTTCACTGACAATGAACTATTCCCAATATATATTTCCGCTTTTCGGCCAAAAAAGGTACCTCAAAATTATCGTGAACTGTGCCTNACTAAGGGTCATGGAAGAAAAGCTCAAAATTTGAGCAAATAATGTGTAACTGATTAAGTAGCCCTTTCCGCAAGCGGTCCTGCACCGAACTTTTTCCTTCGGTTGTTCTAGGTATGGTCGTCGTCCCGTTTTGATCTCTTGCTTCATAATGTTGGCATTGTTGGGGACGTTAGCGGCCTTTTCCCCGTCTGCAATAGTTTTTGGAACTCTACGATTTATGCAGGGAATCTTTTATACAGTGAGGTATTACTATACTGCCATACACTGTAGGTTCTCCTCAATCCCTTAACTATGCTATAACTTATTCAGGGTGGAGCTCTGGTTGGTTGGGTGCTCGGCTATGAATGCACCCCTGTGAAGCTACGATTCTTCACTTCCGGTATGATAAATTTTGTAGTAATTCTTTGCTATTTGCTGTTAGTATGTCGATTTTTCAGTTTACTTTGGAATGGCATGGGTTGCTGGTTACTGCCTTGTTACACCACTTGCTATGCTTGCACCCAATTGGCGATGGCTGATTTTCTTCGTTTCGGTTCCTCAGCTTTTCACAGCCACTCTCTGCTACTTGTGAGTTGTTCTTAGTTTCCAATTACTAGCGGTAGGGGCTCATAGAATAGGTTATTCTCGCACAGTTCCTTTAGTAGGGGTGTAGCAGTATTTTGCTGGTGATTTCCCTGATTAACGACTCTCTCGTCACGGGGTCTTATTTAACCAGTTATCAAGAGAAGCCATTGAAGTTCCCCTACACCACCCTGTCGGACGAGTTTCCCATTGCTTCCGGCAAAGGACCCAGAACGATTCCTCCTAAACACCAACCAACATTCTTCTAATGTAGTTCTTTTTTTCATTGGGAGGAAGTACGGGACGGTTCGTACTCGGTAGGCAATCTCTCCCACCAGCCACTTCCCACTGGATTGCTCGTGGGAATGACCAATTGCTATTTCCTTCGATAAGCAACTTTTCAATTCAGGTTTGTTCCGGAAAGTCTGCACTTCTTGGCGATCGAACGTCATGAAAAGGTCGTGGGTGACTGGCTGAAGAGAGCTGGCCGATGCCACGACAACGTTGCAGATATCGATCCTAGTACTGTAGTCAGTACTAGACAAGAAGAGCCAAAGTATGTTACCCTATACCTACTCGGGGACACTACTAGCCATCTAATCGCTTCTTTTCAGAGTATCCAACTTGTTCAGCGAGTTATGGACACATAAACGATTTCTCCTCTACACGATCGTACTTATTTATCTCTGGTGCGCTTGATCCTCTGGGACTTTTAAGACTTTTAGATTCTGATTTAATTAATAAATATTTAAGAAAGATTTTTATTTTAGGAATTGTGATACCTTCATATATTTCGGACTTTCACTATACAGTACACATTTTGCGGGTAATATCTATCTCAACTATTTACTGGTAGGATTAGTGGAAATTCCAGCATACATTCTCTCCCCGATGGCAATGAACAGGTGAAATCAATTTTTGACTTTTTTCAATCGTGCAAGCCAATAGTCGAGAACAAAAGGTGATCTTCTTAAGTGTAAACTTTGTGTAGCACTTTACAAGGGAGAGCAAGGGAAAGGCACAACTTTAGATTGAACACCTCATCAATAAATACCATGCTATCCATATGATTCCATGATTTCCGAGTAATTTTGAGTCCAAGTCCCAATACTCAAATTATTCTCTCCAGCACAATCGAGGGATCTTTTTTTTTCAAAAAAAAACTCAAAGGTCAAAAAGGGATGGGCAATAATTTTTCAAGGAAATGTATGAAATTTCAGACTCAGTTCGCCCTCTTCAATGCCGCGAAACCGCCTTGTTATGTTACTATGAAAGGCGATATCAAAGATCCCGTCTTTGGGGTGCGCCCCCTCCTTCGACTTCCATTCAGAACCGTAGTAAGGGTTTGAATGCGTTTGTGGCATACGAATCAAACACCCGAGAGAACTGGACAGCTCGCTTGGCCTGGGTAGATGAAAGGTATAGTACAATGGTGTAATAGGAAAATGTAATAGGGAAACAAATCTACTATTTTTTTAAGCCGCCGCGTATTTCCACACCACAGAGCCCTACATTGACCAATTCTTTTAGGTATGGTAGAAGAGTGGTCGTTGCTCTCACTCATTTACTGGCAGCTGCCACTTTTTTCGGACTTGTATTCACTCCAGGTATGACCAACATTCAGAAATACCGTACTACTTTTTGTAGTTATTACCGTATTCTGACCACAAGTGAGCAAGTTGTGAGCAGGAGGCACCACTTTCTCGTACATAGGTGTCCAAGTTGTCAAGGTGTCTCCTTTGACGACGCTTTCCTCTCGGGCTCCTAGAAAAGTACCGTATTCCAGCAAGTGGTCGTTGAAGCTGTAAATCTATTTGGAAACCTTCTATTATACATTGCCACCTAACGTTTTTGAAAGCTATCTGGGAATGCACGGGAAGCAAATCCGAACTGTGGACGACATGACGAGCAAGTCCTGAAAAAGAGGAATTCTCGCCCACGAACCGGTCTAGAGCCTGACCGTGTGTAAGAAAATCATCCATTCCCAGAGCAGTAAAGGGTAGAGCCCTCTACCAAGCCAGGGGAGCCTAGTAATGGGGAAGGGCACTGACCCGATTGTTTATGAAATCAAAGACCTTAAGAGCTCGAGCCTTCTATTTTCACCAACTTCTTACAGATCAATAGCAATATTCTCCATCTATTTCAGAAACCGCATGGATTCGTACAGCCTTGTGGGCACTGGGAAAATTTGCAATATCATGTTCTTTTATGAGCATATACGTCTATGCCAGCGAAATATTCCCAACAAACATCAGAAATCTATCGATAGGATTCTGTGAGATGATGTCCAGAATTGGTGGCATTCTGGCTCCATACGTTATCGTACTGGTCGGTTCTTTTCTAACACTAAGATAGGGTTTCCCGCCCAAAGTTCCTAAAATTAACGTAGGAAATCGCACAAACTTCCTACATGTTCATTACTTGGGCAAGAACAACCCAAACATGACGTCTTCGCCACAAATCCTTAAAATCACTTTTTACAGGGACGTATCTCGCCAATACTACCGATGTTGGTGCTGTCGTTGATATCAGTAATTGGCGGTGTGATTACGTTTTTTCTACCCGAAACACTCAATCGACAATTGCCATCGACGATACGTGAATCATCGGAACGACACTGATCAAAGGACAACGTAGAGGAATTGTATAGACACGAATTGTTACCATATTGCCACAATAAAAACATTCCTTTTAGGAGATTTTCTGTAGTATGCAACGTGGGAATGACAGATTTTTAATAAAATAGACAGGTTTTTCAATTGGATCATAACAAAATTCAAGTGCAACAGCGGCAGATGATAAAGTGGTACCACATCGCCCTCCAAACAACCGTGGTTCATCAAATGAAATCAGCGATTGAGACTGCGAAGGAACAACTGTCTCCCTATCGCCACTCAAACGATGCAGCTTTCCTTTGCTCCCTTCTCATCTCCTCCCATCCTCCTTCCGATGGTCTCTTAAGTTTTTTCGAAACCATCCTGTCCACCATGGATACCGTGGACCTTGCATATTCCGAAATACTTGTGTACCATTGGCTTCTATCGAGTTTCACTCAACATGACCTCAGAGCAAGCTCCATTGAACAACTCTAGGACACCTCAGTTTCAAGAAAACCTCCCTTTCATTTGCTGCGTAACCCTTCGTAAGGGACTTTGCACCCTGACTATTTTTCTTGGAGTCTATAAAAGAGAATTTACCGATTCCACTGGAACGCCACTATCACCTTATCTGGTGAATTTGCCTTACCACCGATTAACCATGAACAGCTTTTTTCTGAGGTTTTCGTTTCATAGCTTCGGTGTTGCCACTGAAAACGACGTGGTCTTGACAGTGCTTCCAGCCCAAAGTCTTTGAATGTGGGACATAACCGAATCGGGATGGAAAAACATAAAAAGCCTAATTGAAGGGTCATATATAAAACTATGAACTTTCCAGATTTAGTTGATGCCGTTCTAGGTTGCGCCATGCACTCGGCTTTTAGTCAACGACCCAGTATTATTCGAAAGTTCATATGAAAAGCTAATCGGTCTCTACAAAAGCTGATTTCTCAAGAGTGAGTGTTCCACCATGTAAGAGGAACCGATTAAGTCAACAGGTAGATATGGGCAAGACTCGCCCCGTATTTGATCGCTGTATAAGCTCCCATGATACTATTCCTCCCATGCCCATTTACTGGAATTAGGAGTCATGTTTTCTTGCGGTTTCCGTTCTCATAGATTCCTTCTAGAGTTTTCTTTCCCCAGAGATAAACGGGGATTTAATGTTTACCCATTCTTCCATTTCCTGGACACAATTGCGAGGAAGATGCATGGAAAGATAGAAATTGCAAACCGGAAACCATTTGTTGTGTGGGAATTGTTTTGTCCCTTTTTAAATGAATTAAAAGAGGACCATCTGACAGCTGATCCATGATAAGCATTCGGTATAAAAACCCTCGACACCCTTCATTTCATCGACACATTTGGAAAGCCTGCCTGTCATTTTCTCAACTTCAAGGGTCTTGGAATTGCATTCTTCTGAACGACGTACTTCGTACGCTACTAGTAATGGACCCTTCCCAATCATGTTCTTGACTATCGCTTTTTGAGGAGGTTGGTAATTGGTAATTATGAAAATAGGGAAAACCCACACTAACCACTTGGGAGTCCAGAACTCCTTTCAAAATTCAAAAAAACTAACTCGAAGGCAACAAAAAAGAAGGGTTCGGGTCGGTGAGTCGGCCTAATTGATATTTTTGGACGTGATGAGAGTACGGGGCCTCGTGCTATGCTTCATCGATCCCATTCCCACGATGAACCACAAACAAGCGATGTTTTCAGCTGCTACTCTCAGCCTCCACCCATGAGACATCCGGTGCTCACACCCCGTTAACGACTTTTTCATTCACTTGCCTTCGAAATTTAATTATAGAGTAGTTTTCACCTCAAGATTGGTTGCTTTACAATAATCGCCCCAGTTCTATTCTTGGAAGTCAAAGATGAACCTTTGTTTACTTAAACTTTTACACAGTTTTCTAAAGCTCTTTTAAAATTTGAGATTTCTTTTGTCTTAATTCTTTAAAAGAAGGACTTATTCGCCTGGGAAAAGCAAATTAGAGTCTGGGAAAGCTCACTCAGCAAAGCTGCATTGAAAGGACGGAGAGTTGTAGCCCAGCTCAAGGAGTTAGAAGCCCATGATTCTGGATGGAAGTCGAATGCGGAGGCATCCCACATGGAGAACTGGCCAACGGATGTCTTGTTCTATACCAAACAGACTATGATTGTACCCAGATATCCACGAAGCCTTCTTCTATTTCGATTTTTGACGAAGCCGCTTCTATTTGTTTCCACCTTACAATCTCTCCACAGACTACAGATTAACAAAGTACTTTTGCCTTTCCATGCATTGACTCACTCAGGGTTCCTTCTAAGCCTAAACTTTACGATCAGTTTTTTGCCTGGAGTTCACCCGAAAGACTGAAACTACACACTGAAGCGCTATCAATAGATAGCTGTGAATTCCGTGACTTTCTACAGGTTCCTTTCGCCTCTTTCTCGTTCTTTGATGTCCACTTTGCGATATGAATTTAATACCTGTGTCTTCTTATTGATTCATTTCTCTTCTCTGATGGTTGCTCTTGAATCCTTTTCTTCTGTTGTATGTATAGTAATTGAAGTCGCTCCCCATCACAGCCATTGAACAAATCTCAAAGCCTCATTAGAATAAGTTCCCAATTCAGTCCATGTTTGGGCAAGTGTTACGGTCTAGTATTTTACCTAGATATTAACCCACTCAGCGCTTGAAAAAAGAACTGGGTAACTAATTGCAGTCTGAGAGTAGAGTCTTGCGACAAATGATCACATGTTTACTGGCTGGAATATATAAAATGATGAAAATTTTAATCTTTCCGAATTTCTCATCTTATCCCATTTTCTAGTCTAGGGAGAGGCGACTTATGGGAACGAATTTCACAACTCATCTGTTAGAAAAGTTGGAAGAAGTAGAAAAGCCACAAAACTTGAACTTTGACTTAAAAGAACTATACTCGAAACTTGAGGTGTGGAAATTTTAAATCTCATCTCAATTTTCATTACATGGCATTCGTAAGAAACACCTGAAGTGCTCAGCCTATCAACTACTATCATTTTTGAAAAGGCACTGACTTTTACTCCGGATCATGCTGTCTTCCCATACTTCCTCACCATTACAACCACGCTTCCTATACCATTCCAAATAACTGTGGTACCAGTGAACCGATCTGAGGGTAGATAATTTGAGCAGGATTCGATCTGGGATTTGATCCCGAATTCATTCGTACGACCGCGGCATCACATGTCATTCATTGTCTCTTATCGTAATACCGTAGATTCAGACTGCCTAAGAGGTTTAATCACAGTTTGTCATATTGATGCCATCATACACACCTTGGGCGTTTTTCCAAAAATAGAATTCGTTTCAGGCGACTGCTCGCTCAAAAGTTTATACCAAATCCAGCTGCATCATGGGTACCGTGGGAGAAAGGGAGAAAGGAAGGGAAGGGAAGAGACGGAGTGCAAACTCCCACGCCAAAGGCCACCTATTTTTCGGAGTTTCCATAGCTTCTACCAAATCTCAAATGGAAAATAGCGATGAATTCCGATCTCTTTGCTTTACTTGGCATGGCGGTTATCAAGAAGAGGTGGTTACGGCATTAGAACTGTTTGGCGACGGTTTGTCAATCGTTTTTTTATCAATGTTTCTTTACAAATACCTGCCCAGCACTTAACAAACGTCTCAAACGCTTCACTTCTGTCTATCAGGATTGTCCTCGACTCTAAACGTCTCTAATTAGTTCCTTGCGCCATTACCAATCGAAAGATGAAAGTTCAACTGACTCATTGAGATTGTAGCCCCACTGTAAAAGATGTAATTCAATTGATTCTGTCAGTTTCACGTTGTTTTCTTCGGTTGACCATCCGGCTTTACATCGAAACAGAGCTATTCAACACAAGTAATGAATTACAGGTGATGACCATCGCCTCAGAAGAACAGCAGATGGTTGGCTCGGAGCCGTCCGATTCTTTGTCAGACGCTCAACGAAAGGCCTCTATCCAGAAACCTGAGGATGTACTCGAACGATTAGGTGAGTAGGGCTGCTCCAGAAGGTAATCACCCACTGAAGAACAGTCCGTTCAGGTGCCCGTCATCGACGTTTATTGTTGGCGATTGTTTCGTGCAGTTTTGTATGGGGTTTCGGTGCACTTTCAATTATGTCAAGTGCATTCACATCAATTGACTGCGGAAATTGCACTGGACACATGATCACCGTCACCAGTGAGGTACTTCGAACTTTTGAAATATTTTAAACACTACCGCAAATTTCAATTCATAGAGGGGTTGGCGATGTGCCATGCCTTCAACTTCCAGAAGGAATCCCAACAACAATTTCAAGGGAGCATGGTTGATACAATACCAATATTTGGCTTCGCCCAGAGTGGCCATTTATCTCTTCTGATCACTTTAGCGCTGAATGACTAAACCCAAAGAGCCTGAGAATGGGGCTCGCTCAAGCATGTCAGGGTGGTCCCTCAAATGATATCCATAGCTACCGTTTTAGCTCCGCCTGGTGAATAATTTGTAAATTTCAAAAAAAAAAACGAACCATATAAAACCTAACTATAAACTGGGAAAGACTTTAAAGCACATAATTCTGAGCTTTTCCAACTTTTACAGTTCGAACTGCGTGACGATAAAATGTACTTGGCCGAATGGAGTACTTCGTTTTTTATGATTGGAAACATGCTCGGAGGTTGCAGCCTTTCATATGCAGCAGATCGGTAGGTCTTCTGACAATACCTTTTGTTGGAGCATGGGGTATACATGTAACTTGTAAGCTGCAATATGAACACTGAAGCATGATTATCCAATGCTGATGAATTGCTTCAAATTGCCCTCATGTGTGCTGGTTATAAGGATTGGTAAAAAAAANAAAAAAAACCTTAAGGGACTGTGAGAGCTCGATCCAGCGATAGAGCAGCTGTCATGAAAGGGAATAATTCAAATCGAGAAAAGGTACAGTATTGGCCTACCGTACTCACGGCCTGTAGACGGAACCAATAGATGATTTCCCTCATCCTTTCACCAATTTGGGCTGGTTAATTGGCGTCAGAAGGATAAAATCACTGAGTTGTGCAACTGTTCGTTCAGCATACTGCTGTTTGGTCTGAACAGGCATGCACATACGCAGCAGACATTTCTGAATGTATGCCGGATGCATTGCGTATACATTTTGCATTTATGCATGGACCCCAGAAATAATATGGATCGATGATAAATGCTTCATTCATGCTTCTATGTAACAGAGACCAGATTAAGTATGAGACTAAGAAGCTTCATTGCGGAATCGGGGTCCTCACTCGTGACAACAGACATCTTATCATCAAAGATTATAGCATAAATATGTAGTCTTCTGGAATATTTCCAAAATCGAAGACGTCATTACAGATTCGGAAGACGCCCTCTGCTTCTGCTTTGCTTGGCTTTTCAAGCAGTCTTCTCCTTACTTGCCTCACTCTGCCCATCCGTACACCTCTTCTCTATCTGCCGACTTTTTCAGGGAGCATGCTATACGGTATGCCCTTTACTGGTCATATTATTTTAATTTTTCCTTCTTATTTTTTATTATCAATGGGGTTTCGAGAAAGTCGATTTTCTGCACACGATTCGATTGTTTGAAAGAAAAAAAGAGGAAAAGGCAGCATTTGTCAAGTGAATGGTTGTATTCTTTACTTTTCTGCTTTAATTCATCGATCGGGTCTTTTTCGAAGCCCCATTTAGTCTCCAAACTTGTCAGTAACCAAAATGAAACTTGCTAAAGTCTCTTGTCGTTCATACTGAGCGTTTAGGGTGCAAGTCTTGTCGCATGGGTTGCCGCTTATGAACACACGCACACTGATCTACGGTCATTTACCACATTTCTGTTCGGGGCCACATGGGTGGCTGGCTATTCGGTTGTTGCTCTATTAGCTTATATTTCATCAACATGGAGAGAAATGATGACATACGGAGCCCTATCGACTTTCATTTTTACTATATGGTGTTGGAGGTGAGTGAATCCCAGTCAGCTATCCCTGAACTCTATCAGGCAATATTTCTCAAGGTTCAACTACTGGAGTAGAAAACTCCATTTAAGAAATTTTTAAAGTTACTTTATATATGAAAAATAGAAAAATTTTAATAAAAATTCTCTAGAATTCTCCGAAAAATACAATGGAAAACAAAGAAAACCATGGGAAATTTTTCGGATTCTCCTCTTTATGAAAAAAATTCTAGCCTACTATCAAGTTGAATACAGCAAGTGCCGAAAGTTAAGGACCAAGCCAGCCTTCTTTCCATTGTGGGCGGGATTCAAGTAGTAGGCGGGATTATCGAAAGCGCTGGCCATTTATGGTATCGGTTTAATTATATATTTTCGTAGAAATGCCAAAGTAAATTCCGATCCTCTCCAACGTGAAATCTGGTAACGATTAAATCTCAAATCGAATTTTCTTACCTGATACCATGAAATTGAAGACTGTTTGCAGATATGTTCCAGAGACACTTCATTTTCTCGTTTCGAGACGGAAGACGAAAAAAATCCAAAAATGGTTGTCGGTCCAGCATTATTCATCACCTCATCATGGCGACGTCACCACTCTTCTCGAGCACCCAGCTGACGAGCCTTCGCCTGAAAAGTAATCGCTACCCAAAAAACTTTCTCCCTTATTTTGAAAGATTACAATTAATTTTGAGGAGGGGAGAGTTACTGTTAGGTAGAGGGGACAGTGTCGCAGTTTAGGAAACCAACCTACTGTCCGCCAGTATGGTCCCCTCTAGAATCACCCGCTACTGTCCCCTAGCTCCTATGCTCTGGAGTTGATACTTGATATGTATACAAAGGTGCGCTACAGTAATGAACAAGAAACTAAACTGGCTTCAGACAAAGAAACCCATACCCACAAGTGGATATTGTACCGGCTTGACACCTCTATGAACCCTGTACACCTAACAAGTTAGAAATTCTACTTCCCTTAATTCGCTTTTGAACGCAGTAATATTTTTTACTTATTATTTTGTAGACAAGACCTTATTTACTCATTTTCAGGAGCTCATTTTTCCGGGAAATATGGCTCCATAAGATCTTCATAGTTTATTGCTTCATTCAGCTATACCTATGGTATGGTATGAGTAACTACTATTTTTGAACTATTTGAACCTATACTATAGCTAATTATCATTCTTAAGGACATGTGATAACTTCGTATATTTCGGATTATCTCTATACAGTACCAAGCTAGCTGGTGATCCTTATACGAATTATCTTCTCATGGGACTTGTGGAATTGCCAGCCTACATTGCAGGACCAATAGCGCTAGAAAAGTTGGTTTCGCTTTTTTTTTATTTTTTCTTTTTCCCCATGCCAATGATGTAGAAAAGCAAAATAAGGCTCATCTTTCATTCACCCAATAGGGTATTCTCACGATCATGAAAGTGGTACGGTAGCAAACTATCCAATCCTTAGTCAACCTTTTCCGAAAAGCTCTTCCAATTCAGGTATGGACGGAAGTTTGTCGTATCCGGGACACATCTACTGGCAGCCATCTGCTTTATTATCCCGCTGTTTGCTGGAGGTAAAGTTTAATTGAACAATTTTTGCCGATATTCTTTTGTCTACGCCTAGAAGTTTGGCCCATGAACTTTGAGCTTTTATTTTATATATTTTCGTGACTATATAGATTTCTATCTTTGGAATTTCCTCATATGAGTCTTCCCCTACCATGCTTATATGGTATATCTCCATACAGCCAAGTAATGAAGCTAAAACAGTTGTTGGGCTGGAACAGCGCGAATAGTTTTCACAAAGGTAGAGCGACTCGGGTGGTTGATTCACCGGACGGAGGTGAAGTACTTTAGCAACTGTCATAACTTTGGCAGGTAGAAACCTTGGGCTAATGTGCAAGTCAGTCATATGGGTCAACAGGAGGAGTTTGATGAGTTGGGAGGAGTTTCTGCACCGGGTGAGTTGAGAGGAGCTTTACGAAATACATATTTTGGACGACATATAAACATACTGAGGACAAGAAAGTTGCCAAAACAATTTTCCAGGGTCTTATTCTGCCTTTAAATACATCCAGAAAGATGCTACCTGGATTTACACTTATTTTTCAGATTAATTCTTCCAACCACTTCTTGCTAATAAGGAATAATACATTTTTATTGAACCATCTCAAAGGCACCGTTTACGATGGATTTAGGGTACCCTTTTTTGATGGGAATTGATAGAACTATTTAGAATAAAGCGATAACAACGAAAGA